CGCGGGGCGCGCGGCCAGGCCTGGGGAGGGGCGCGGGAGGGCGGAGGGCCGAGGGCGGGGGCGGCGCGGGGCAGGGCGGCGGGGCCTCGCCCGGCCGGCAGCTTGGGGGCCGCGGCGCGGAGGAGCAGAGCACTTGCCCCGAGGGTCTGTGGCGTCGCAGGTGCCGCGGCAGCCCTGGCCATGAGGACTCTGTGGATGGCGCTGTGCGCGTTGGCGCGGCTGTGGCCCGGGGCCTTGGCCGGCTGCGCCGAGGCCGGGCGCTGCTGCCCTGGTCGGGACCCAGCCTGCTTCGTCCGCGGCTGGAGGCTGGACAGGGTCTACGGGACTTGCTTCTGCGACCAAGCCTGCCGCCTCACCGGGGACTGCTGCTTCGACTACTCCAGGGCGTGCCCAGGTGGGTGGCCGGGCCCAGGGAAGGGCGCCAGCCATTGGAACCGGCTTGGGGCAGGGCGCAGGTTTGCAACCCAGGAGCTAGGAGTCTCCTAGCCCCTTCCATTCCGGCGTGTCCGGCCATCTGTGCTGGCCCATTCCAGCCACCTCCTTCTAGGTGCACTCAGCTCAATCCATCCTGGGGTCCAGAGTTCTCCCCACCAGGGCCTGGATGGACGGGGCTGGATCCCTCTGCACTTTTCATAGGGCCACCTCTGCGAATTCATCCGCAGCCCAGAAACTCCAGCTGGGTAGGGCCACATGGGTCTTGGAAAGATGCCCTTGACAGGTTCCAGGGGGCAAGCCCCTGGGCCAGGCTGCACCACATCCCTCTATCAACCCTCAGTGATCTTTGGGGCTGGAGAGCGGTGATGAGGACAGGAAGCTGGCGTGTTCTGCTTTGTACCAAGCTTGCTCCGAGAGATACTTTTCTCTGCAGAGCAAGTTCTTAGAGGACTGAGGTCTTCCTCAACCTGGACCCCAACATGTAGCACATGCTCAGTGGAATTCAAGTTCATCCCTGCAGCATGGCCAGAAGCTTTCTCTCGGAGTCCGTATTAGGTTTTAATCTTGCTGATTTTCCTTTACAGCTTTTTTCAGTCTTATATTTCACACAGTATTTCAGTTCCTCACCGAAACGGTGAGTATATTCCTGAAGAACGAGGTGGCCCTGAGAGAAGCCAGCTCTAGGAGTAAAAATAGTCATGCTCCTTGTAAATCACGTCGCCCCCAAAGCCACACACGTTAGGACTGGAGCTCAAGGATCCAGCATGTGGGGTTCTCAGCATTTTCTGGGGAGAGTAACCGGCAGAGTACACTAGGAACAAGATGCCCTACAGAGACCCTGCCTCTGCCAAGGGAAGAGACTGCCAGCCCCTGCTCAGGCCAGTCAGCTAGACCTGATCCTGAAAAAAAGCACAATGGAAAAATGTGAAAATTTCTTGACTTGAGTGGAGAGTTAATGATTTACTTTGTGCATAGAGATATTCTTTTTGATAAACTTCCTTGCCTGTCCTGCTCCAAGGCCAGGTATTTTACCCCTAAAGTAAGGTGCAAAAGTCACCTATTCAAGAAATGCAGCGCACTCAAGTCTGGTGTCCCCAGCCCCTCCCCCACAGCATCCTAAACTCCTGTTTGCCTGGATGATTCAAGCAAAGTCTCTCCCTCCGTGGCAGAATCACTCTTTCCCTCACGAGGAAGCTGTTTTAAAGGCAGTTAGAGAATTTGTGGAGTCAGGATAATATGTCCAGTCAGTGGTAAGCATAGGAATGGAAGATAAGGAACATGCATTTTCTGCTCCCTAGCCGTTCCTAGTCCAGCCAGGAAAAAAAGCAAAACTATGTGCAACATGCTTACTACAGTAGGGGATTCATTCTAGAAGACACACGCTTATCTGCAGGTGATACATTCCAAGACGCCCAGTGGACATCTGAAACTACAGATAGTACCAATCCTTGCATACACTGTTTTTCCTGTACGCTCTGCAGTGTTGTCACATAGTACCGGGGTTAATCTATCCTTCCATGTTTCAAGCCCTGGCCCTTCTTTTGCATCCTTACTTTTGCACTTTAAGACTGTTCCTAAATAAAATAAAGATTACTTGAACGCAAAGTGCTGCAGTACCATCACAGTCGATCTGGTAACTGAGAAGGCTACTAAGTAGCTAATGTCGTATACAGCACTGAAATGCCTGGACATCCTAGGTGACAGCAGGGTCATGTGAAATTTCACCACACTACTCAGAATAGTGCAGTGGGAGCGAGATGTATGACTATTTCAGGAATTTCCCATTTAATATTTTCAGGTGGTGGTTGACTGTGGGTAACTGCAACCAGGGAAAGTGAAACCAGAGCTAAGGGGGAATCACCATGCAGACAGGTGGTCTGGGAGGAAAAACTTAGAAGACCCAAGGAATTCTGGGAAGACTTTGAAGAGGAAGTCATGGGCAACCTGGTACGAATAATGATCAGAAGTCTCCAGGAAAAATGGCCAAGGGGAGGGAGGATCTCCACAGTTACTGGCAGGAAGTCAGTCTATAGAGGCTAAAACAGTGAGCCTTAGACAGAGGGTGGATTCAAGCAGATCCTGAGAGATTCAGGCCCTCAGGAGGGATGGGGGAAGATGAAGCAAGAGTGGTGAGAGAACGGAACCTAGTTGCTTTTTTTTTTTTTTTTAATGTGGCAGTACTGGGGTTTGAACTCAGGGCCTCATGCTTACTACCACTTCAGCCACACGTCCAGCCCAGGAGCTTGCTTTCAAATGAGGCCTGACAGGGCTACAAGGAGCTGCAAAACCTAAGCCTTTATTTGGCTACAAAGAAACCTCTTATTTTCAGTCTAGGAGGTAGAAATAGTAAAACCAAGAGCTGAGTACAGAATAGGTGAGGGGAGTTTACCATCTCTGAAGAACTGAGAATCACAGGAAGGCAATGCCTGGGGGCAGGGCTGTAGCTGGTTAAACTGAGGCCAGAAACAGTTTTAAAGTAGCATATCCAGTAGCCTTAAATACACTTTCCCTGGGGGTTAGCAGAGGCCCAGGCAGAAGTAGACTTGGGACCCAAAGGCTCTTAGCTGGTACATTTTCTCTGTCTGAGGGTTTTTATGAAGGGAGGAAGGAAATAAGACTACTGGAAGCTGGTTATGTAATGAGGCTGAGCCTGTTCACTGTGAGAGCTGTGAGAGCTGAGGAAGTTTCCTCAGCTGTGGACAAGCACAGCAGGGCTGCCTGTAGGCTTGAAGCCAGATTGCCGTGGGTCTGTGCTGATCAGGAAGCTGGGAGCTGCCTGGGGGGTGGGGGAGCTACTCCTGGAATGAAGGCTTCTAATCTCAGTCTTTCCTCCAAATATTTATTGTTTTCTTTTATTTTTTTCCCCAGAAATAGTCCTAATGCCTCAACGTTGCCCCTAAAGTCAGAGAATCCTGGGTTGAACTTTTACCCTGCCACCTCCTGGCTTTGTAAAACATGGAAAACATGTTTTGTCCCATGACAAAACCACCACATGGGACTGTTGAGATAATGCCCAGGAAGCCCAGGCCCTGGCATGTGGTGGGGACTTAGGTAGCAAGTGGACTGTTGGTCAGATCTTGGTACCAGTGGGCACTAGTAAAGATTTCATTTGAGTAATAGTTACACAATCATTTGATGACAGCATGGTGCCATAATTTGTGTCAGTTAATATTAATTCATAAATACCTAGCAGGGACTGGTGGCACATGCCTATAAGCCTAGTACTTGGGAAGTCAGGCAGAAGAATCATGGGTCAGGCCAACCCGGGCTACAGAGTGAGTTAAAGAGGCCGGCCTGGCTACATGGTGAGGCTCTGTCTCTAAATAAATGATAAATTAATATCTTTTAAATAAATATTATTTGCTCACTTATTTTGAGACACGGTCTTGTGAAATATCCCAGGCTGCCCTCAAAATTGTAATCCTCCTGCTTCAGCCTCCTGAGTGCTGTGATTACAGATGTGTACTACCACTTCTGGCCTAAATATCTTTTATTTTAATATCTTTTATATTTAATATAAATATAATAATACTTGATATATTTTATTTAACTCCCACCATGTACTCACATACTTAGTATCATTTAGTCTTCCAGCATATAGGAAAGGCAATTATGAGTCACAATCCCAAAGTCCAAATGTTAACAATACTAAAATCTGAAAAGTGCTAAAATTTGGAAGTCTTTTTTTCCATAACTTATTGATGACAAAAGTTTCACCTGCCTTGAACTGATAAAAGACTGTTGATAAATCTTTTTTGAGCAAAATATATTCATAGTGCATGGGAAAGAAGATCCCCAACATAAGGTACATGCACTGATGTTTCTCTCAGACGCATCCTTCTAAGATCTGGGAAATCCTGAATTCTGAAACTCATCGCCTTCAAGGGTTTGGGAAAAAGTGTTGTTGACCTGTACTAGCATTGTACTGCGACTTTCCTTTCCTAGGGTTCTCATTACTCAAGATAGCCTGATTAAGCAGGAGAGCTAAGAACTTGAACCCTTGACTGACTGTCTGACTTCAAGTTCAGCAACACAGTTCTTAGTGTCAATTCGTGGTGGTTATATATTCCTAGTTAAATCAAGGTTTAGTACTTATGAGCCCAGTTACGCTATGCATTTAGAACCATTCTGTCTCCTAGAATCTCTTCTTATCACCCAAGGTTATGTTACTTATTACTGCTGCCCAAAATCTTTTCGATTGATATTCAATCTGAATGAAAAATGTAACTGCGTCAGCATAACTAAGCATAATTTACTTTTGTTCCATCTGACCTTTTTATCTTGATTTGTGTGTGTGTGTGTGTGTGTGTGTGTGTGTGTGTGTGTGTGTGTGTGTCTAAGAGATGCAATACTGGCATTTCTTTTCATAAGTAGAAAGGTTTGTCTTTTTCTAATGTAAGTGTAAAGATGTTATTTGATCTACAGAATAACTACACTGCCAAGAAATCCATTCTGAAATGAATTATCTCAGAAAATCTTATGATGATGTTGGCATGAGTTTCAACATTAGTAATGTAGCACAAGTCCATCCCCTTCTACAAAAACAAAAGAAAGAGAGAGAAAGAGGAGAAAAAAGAAAAGTATTTTCTATTGGCTGTGCCTGACCAGGGATGAGCAGAAATAAAAGAGGGGACAGATCCAACTTACCCTGCCTTGTAAGAACTTCTTGCAAAACTTGCTTACCAGGCATGTATTCCCTATCTATAATTCACCAATGGGGGTCCTAAAGGCTACTTGCTAAGATCGCCAAAGCAGTAGGCTGTGTTGGCCAGTGACAGAATCTTAAGGGAAGGGTAATAATAAACTCAAACAGAGCAAGGCAAAAATTAAGTAGTCTCTATAAATCCATGTCTTCTATTACATTTATGGGGAGTCCAGGAAACAAACTGGCTGAAATCTGATGATGACATCATAGCTGCAGACAAAGGGGCACTGTGCTTGAAAACATGGGTTCCAAAA